ATGAAAGAATAAAAATAACTAGATATAAAAGAAATGATTATAATGCCGTCCGGAGAGAAAATAGCTATCTTGCCGAGAATTACTTTCTTTAGAGATAATTGATACTTGTGGTTGTTTGGCCAGTCGTTGGAAGAACTCGAATTGTGACCGGAAGTATAAAATATATCTCGATAAACGACGAATACATCGGCAAAATGATATTGATGTTATAAATGACCTATCGGCAAAATAATATTAAAGTTTAATAACGGCCTAATAGTTTTAATAAAATAATCTAAAGATATCTAATATAAAATTCTCAGAGAAATTGATTACGTTTATGTAATTGCAAATAATGGATGTATCGATAGTTAATTACAGAGTTAAGGCCACTAGTGGATGTTACAAATATAATATAAATATTACAGCTAAGCACAGACTCAAAAGCAATGTTCAGCGATTTACACATTATGTCCAGGAAAGATTTAGTATGAAATTAAGTTATCGTAATAAACGAATCCTGTGGCACACAGAATCCTCTTATTGTCAAATTTTCATTTTACAATAACGTGATATGAGATTATCATACACGTGATCACGCGTTTATGACTATCACATGTGTTGCGACTCGAAGTTAAATGAAATTTTGTTGGGTAAAGTTTTTTCTTTATCCTTTATGGACATATATGTGTTTCTATTATCTAACGTATTGAAAATCTAAATATAAATGGTAAATGACTTATATGAGGGATTTATTTTATTTTTTTTTTTATCTTCTTGTGGTTGTTGCAGTTCTTGACACGCGATATATAATATCTGTTTTGAAAAATTACCCTAATAATAACTACATCGTATATAATACATTTCACGCGAACTGTATACAAACATTATTATAAATACAAAAATCACTAATGCTTGAAATTTTGTCCATTTGAAAAAATCACACTCTTTTTTTTTCAAATTCTTTATATAGATTGTAGAAATAACATCAAAAAAGAAGAGCAGAACTCTTGAGATCCCTCATGGTTTTCGCAACTTCTGTACGAAAAAGCATTGTATATAAATTCAAAGTGAAAGATTAATAGTGTTCATCATCTAGAATATCTATCTCGAACACTCTTTCAACAACGATTTATTAAGTTCTATCAAATTGTCCTTCATTATATCATCGTCTTCTAATGAAACTCATGAGCATACAACATTCCAGGCACTGAACATTGAGCGACGCTCGAGCCAGACAAAATCTGGCTTACATTGTGTGTTACAATGTTGATTCGTGTATCACCGTTGTATCTGGATTACTATTGGCATTTTGAATTATTGCTACTGGTACATGAGGCGTCAAAGTGATAGAAGACGTTTTTCTTACGGGTTTTGGTGAAGCCTGAAAACGAAACGAATATTTGTTAGACATATGCGGTTGTTAAAGGATTATAATAAAATTATAAAAATATACAACTTATGTACTTACCCATTCTCTTCTACAAGGAGCTTCGTCGTCCGAGCAATGATCAATATGTCCAGCATCCGTTTCGGTTGCCACGTTTCGCTTCTTTGGCTGTAGAGTTGCATAATTACGAGAGCCTCTATTAAAATTATTCATATTCTTCTCTTCAACAATTTTTTCCTGGCACAATATTTCCTGCGACTTACTTTGCTTATTATTTGTGACGTTACAACTAGTTTTATTATTAAAATAAAACGGTGGCATCTTAGAAACCCAATGGTCAAGACCCGAGCCCGCCGAACTTGTGGAGGCCGCTGAGGAATTTCCAGTAGAGTTACTAGTCAAACCTCTTCGTTGATAAAACAACATGTAAGCTGCATTCGTGATAAGATTAGTATCGTTTACAGCTTCGACTCTTGTATCATCGAAGCAATACCATTGAGTGTCGTATGGATTTCTACAAAATGCTGTATAATGGCCACCCTGAAGATCTTGGCCATGGTGATTACAAATAGCGTAGAGATCATATACATTCTCATCATATTTAGAAATACTTTGTTGTCGTGGTCTTGGCTTTTTCCATGGAGACCAACCCAAGCCGCCAAGTGTAGGAACGTTATTATGTGTTTGTACTCCGTTATGAGCAAGATGAGGAGTCATGTCAAAACCATAAAGAGGGAAATCTACGAGCATTGTCAATTTCGACGTCGATCTCTGTTTGGATTGTTGACGAAATCTTTTCAGATGTATTACTAAGATATCAGGTAAGGTCCAAAGTCCTAACTTCTTCACGACTTCTTGTTTCTTATTACAATAAGGACAATGCCAGGCATCTTCGGCTCCTAACGTCTCCGCTCTCGTATAAAGATCAAAACATTCTTCCAACGTAACCGCTCCACCTAACTCAGAATTAGTCTTTAATTGCTTGACACTGGCGTGCTCTTCGATTTGATCACTGTCATCTTGAATGATATTATTCTTCGTAGCCTCATCCCACTCGAGAATTAGTTTCACGTGCTGTGGACCGGAATCATCGGCACAGAGTGCCAATGCTTGTTCGATTTGTTCCGTATAAAGTGGATGTTCGACGCAAGGATCGATGCAAGGATGTTCGTCTTGAATAGGTGTCGCTGCTGGATCAGCTACTCGAATGTTGAATAGTCCTGGATTTTGGCTGGATGTTAAAACATCGTCGGTCAAGGTACTATGCATTTCCTTGAGTAAAAGTTTTTGAAGATCTTCGTAAGACGTTTCGCGAGAAACTTGCATTGTGTAAGGGCTACCAAAGCGTTGCCTCAAATCACCCTTTACGAGAACGTTGATCCATACCAGTAAAATGTATGCCTGTTCAGTTGGCTCTTTCAACTGTGGTAGTTCTATACAGTAAAGGGGATCGTTTTCTGTGATCACAGACAATGGTTGACAGTCAGAGAATGTCCTAATGAAACAGAAAAACAAATATAAAACTTAACATATAATGATAAAAGACAAGTATATAACAAGAAAAAGAAAACAAGAAAAAAGAAAAGATAACAATGAAGATAACGGTACCTGTGAAATCCTTCGTCATGAACTTCAGTCAGCAACATATGATTCTCTTCAATGCCGGTGTCACTTGCTAAAATTTCTCTGAGTTCCCTCACGTTTGCAGCTTGATTCACGGTGACGCCAATCCTAACTTGTCGTGGCTGTTGAGATGTGTAGAGAACGTTCACAAAGAGACTCATCTGTCGATGATTTTGTGGGACAGGTACTGACACGCAAAGGAACGGATCAAACGTGTTTGATTGCCGATGACACCTCGGACACGTAAGACTAGATCGAAATTGTGCCTGGAATACGTCGTGAACGAAGGAATTGTTACAGCGATTGTGATTCGCTAATGTTTCAGCAGCTACGATCTCGTCGGGTCTGCCAAAGGAATTCTAGGAACAAAAAAGACAAAGATAATCGTCAATGAGATGAATAATTAATCTTTAAAGATAAAAAGAAAATAATATAATAATAATAAATCAAATTGTGACAGAATTCGATCCAGTGTACTTGAAGTGTTTCGTGTTCGACATGTTTGCTTACACGGTGTGTCTAACAATAACCACAGTTTAACCCAAGGAAGTTTAAACTCTTTTTGTTTTAAAAGAATAATTTACTACCGAGAGTGATGTAAGATGTCAGTGAACAATAAATGATACAATATGCAAATTACAATTACATAAGTTCAATTATTTATGTAATACTGCAACTCTCGATAAATCATTCAAAAGTCAATGCAAGTGTGAAATTAAAAAAAAAAAAAAAAAAAAAAAGAAAAAAGAAAAAAAGAAAAAAATATTTCTACTGCGTTTCTTAGTAGCAAATTACTTAAGTTCTAAATATATAGTTTGAATCCTGGAATTATTATTACGACTCCACCCTAGAATGGTCATCAAGGAAAAAGTTTTTATAGCCGGGTAAAAGTAAACATATAGTAGTATGAAATATAAATAAATTGTTTGGCGAGAAGTTTTGTCTGCATTTTTTGTCACCAGATGCCTTTATGGAATGTTTTCAACGCTGTTAGTCATCATTGAATTCTTTCGTCAATATTATTTCGTAAGAATTTATTTTATTATAAGAGGTTTAAATTTATGTTTTTCTTGCCTTTTGTATTCTTTATTTCAATTTATTTTAAATAATCGTTTAAGTATTTGAAAACTCTCTGATGAGAATATTTGATCCTTGAGAATGTTCATCGGCGAATTACCAATATAAATTAACATCTTTGGTCTTAAAATACGATATTCTTGGATTTTACATCCCGTACTTTAAATACCATTACGCTTTTCTTTTCTATTATTTTCGTCTGTAATCTTCTAAATCTGACAGAATTTAAACCAATATTTTTTATCTTTGTTATTTCGAGCGAAAAGAAGTCCATTTTTGGAAGAACACGCTCGACACATTATTTATTTTATCATTTAGTTTTCACAAGATTAGAGGAAGTAACACGTACCCTAAGCGCGCGCACGTTCGTTGGCTATAATAGTTCGAAAATGAAAATAAAGCGAAAGACTATTTCTAGAACTCCTATTTATAGAGACTGTCTCGCCGGAAGGATATTCTTTTTCTTTCTCTCTTTCTTTCTTTCGTTCTTTTTTTTTTTTTTTTTATTTTTTTTTTTATTTTTTGTCTGGGAGAGACTACACGAGATGAAGAGAAGATCTACGCTTCCTCGAATGCGAGGAGTTACTCCTCCTACTGCCTACGAGAAAATTTCTTCGAGATGGAGAAAACGGAAGAACAAACCCACGTTATTGAAACTACGTTGTGCTTACATAGTCGCATACGTACACAAAAATCCTAAGGATTTCTTCGGTATATTTCTTGAGGAAGTTGAACGACGACGATAAGAACAAGAAAAAAGAAAAAGAAAGAAAGAAAGAAAGAAAGAAAAAACCAACAAGACGTTTCGTTTGTTCGAGAAATTCTTCTTTGTTTACAGAAGAAAAAAAAGAAAAAATAACAAAATAAAAAAAAAAGAAAAGAATAAAAAAAATAAAATAAATGAATCGTCCGATATTGATCTTAATCGTAGCTATAATTACTAAAACGTGATATTTAATCACGAACTACGAATATATATATATACGTGCTTTTTTTCGTTGGTCAACAAAATATGGAGATCGTAATTACGGCACGTTTAGCACGACAAACTTGAATTTTGCAGGCAACATCAATTTATTCATTAGCATTGGCCTCATCAATATTTATAACACATATTCTTTATGATTCACAGATGTTTCTTTTTATGATTTAAATGTTCTATCTACGTTAAAATATATATTACGGTTATGGAATGTATTTTCTCTTCATTTCTTTGTTCTTTTCTTTCCACTTTAATTAAAAGTCAATTTTTACGAATAATCGCAGATATAATATTCTCTTTTTAAGACAAACAAAACATATATAACATCATCTTATGAGCCCATCGAAACAACCCATTGTAGATATCTGCGTCATTAGCGAGATATCTCCTTATCGTTTAATTAGAAATACAAGAACATAAGAAAATCGTGCGTCAAATCGATAAAACGACTCGAGACGAAACGCAAACAATATTTTATTTGCTCGTACCCATTCTATATGACCTGGATAGTTAATGAGTTGAAGAAATTATAGGGATGAGGGGGGGAAACAGAAAAAAATTTAAGTTTGAGATAAAGAAATAATCTTTGGTAGATTTAGTCAATGGCGGGCACGGTCTTGGTTGAGTCTACATTGAAAGATTCAAGAGAAATGCATGAGGTCAACGAAACTGTTACGTTTGAAATTGGATGAAAGAGAGAAAGAGAAAGAGAAAGAGAGAGAGAGAGTGAGAGAGAGAGAGAGAGAGACATTTCTAATAATAAAATGTTGAAGACGATCAGCAATTCAACTTCTGCATAAATTTAACTAAGTAATCTATTTCAAATGTAAACTAAACAAAGCGACATATATCGAGTTTTGATAAACTTTGAAAAGATGTATACATTTGCTAGATCGTCTCTAAATGTATTCAACGTGGTAAGGCATTTAGCATTCGTAGAATTCGTTTTAAAATAGAAGAGAGAACGCGTGCGTTGATCTCAATAGTAGATGCCAGTAGGAATCATAGTTATGTAGATAGGTGGTACGGAGAAGCGAAGGCTGTAGACGAGACGGTCGTAAACCCCGCGATATCGTAGTACATGCCGACGACAACGAACGAACACGGTACATACTATTATAACATACTACTTAGTTAAAGAAGAGGACTCTATCTATCTAACTATTTATCTATTTATCTATGGATCTATCTATAGCCACGTACGATACACGCGTTGGCTTCCTTTAATCAAATCAAAAGAGTCTGACCGAGGCTAAGTTTCCATGACCTTCACGAATAGAGCCTGCCTGTCCTGCTTTCCAGAGTCTACTTGTATTTCTATGGAGCAGTCATACACCAGGAACGTAATATCCGCAAGACGGAAGCCCACGTCATATCTCGTTCTAACATCCAGAACGAAGGTCATGGCTAACAGGTGACATTTCAACAACGACGACGACGTCTTCTTCTTACTTTCATTTTCTTTTTTTTTTTTTTTCTTCCAACCTTCCATCGAGTTTAGAATTTCGGAAATCATGAGTATTACACTCATCTTCTTTTTTTCGCTTTTGACAAATGAAAAATCATATGCTAGAAAGAGAGAATCCTTTTGTATATTCAATGGAAGTATCACGTTCGTGAAAATATTCGTGCGTTTCCGCAGAATGCAATTTTCCGATGTATAGGGGACAAAAAAAAAAAGAAAAAAGAAAAAAGGAGAGGAAAAAAGCAATGGGAGGAGACGAGTGTAATTGCGGCATGTACCATCGCCGACAGGAAGTATCAACGAGTCAGTTGCAGGAAATCATTTTCAATGCTTACACACGATGTAACTGCTCGTCGCAATTCGTAGTTTACAATTAACCAATGTCATGTCGGTGCACGCGTACCGATCTTTGGTAAGCAAGATTGAACTACATACAATATTTTTTTTGTTTTACACACACACACACACATTTTACGTTTAACATAATTATTTTATATATTAATTATATATATATATATATATATATATAATATATTGATATAATATATTCTTATCTAAACCAATATATATACATATATACACGATATTCGATTGATAATCTTACAAAATTAATTGGAATCGTTCGAAAAATTTATTATTTTTAAATTATTAAAAGTTATTAAATTTCAAAGAATTTTTCACGATAATTTATGATCGATATTTACAAGAAAATACCGTACATAATTCGTATTAATTACTTTAATAAGTTCATTTTTAAGTGCGGAAAAATGACGATCGTAAATATGTAGTTTCGTAGGACCTGTTGATGGCGTGATAAAAGGCGCAACAAGTTTGCAAACGAAAGAGTAAGAGAGAAAGAGAGAGAGAGAGAAAAAGAGAAAGAGAAAGAGAAAAAGAAAAAAAAAGAGAGAGACAAAAAAAGAGAGAGAGAGAGAGACAGACAGACAGACAAACAGATAGATAGAAAACTCAATCTTGAATTTTGCGGGCGTTATATCGCAAAACAAAAGACAGGAACTTTCAAGCTCGCAATAAACATACTTTTACGTAACTCCTCCTCGATCATCGTTCCCCCACATTCGATTCATAACTTTAAATTAAACTCTTTCGAACCGACAAACGCAACCGCCACACAACAAACAGGAACAACGGACGAACATGTAAACGAACGTCCGGAATTTGAAAGTGCGGAAGAAGGAGGAGCGTAGTATATGTAGTATGTATATAAAATAATGTTGAAAGTTTCCCCCCTTTCCCCTCCGCACTGCCTCCCTTCAACCCTCTCTATAATACTTCTTTCATTTTTGTTTTCAATCTTTCTCTTTGCAAAATCCACACGACGTCCACCCATTCACTATTCAATTGCATTTAAAATTCAAAAGAAACTAACTTTTATATCACGCGTGTGTGTGTGTGTGTGTAGGTGTATTTGTTATCAATAAATAAAGAAATTAATAAACAGATGGCACCACTCAAACGTTTACTTCTTGAAATCGTCCACGTTCAATATAGGATTGTATTATCAAATAATTCTTTTGTGACTTTTATCATATTCTAATGAATATGCTTTTGCAATAAAACGAAAACACATTAATAATAAGGGGGAAAAAAAATAAATAAATAAAAAAAAAAAAAAGAAAAAAAAAAGAAATAACAGACAACAAATAACATTGACAATGGGTCATAGTGTGCAATGTCTTAAAAAAGAGATTTATATACAAATATTGATAAACAATATTCTTTTTTCGCGTCTACAGTAAATCAAATATATAAAGAAGGTTATGAATGATATGTTTTGTAGGGAATATCCTCGTAAGGATAATTAGTACAAGTCGAGGATAATTAATACAACGAGATGATATGATTCAACACTACAAACAAGACGATGAAGGTCGTGCTAGCAGAAGCGAGACGACCGTAACCAGAAATTCTTCGAAGCGTGAACGATGGAGACATGTCTTTCTTGCTTGCCTTAACTTTTCTACGCATAATTATAGTTATTCGCACGATGAGATTTAAAGTGAATACATTTTATACGAGATGGGCCGAAAATTCTTCGATTTGTATTTTTATAATTTGAAAGGAAAAAAAAAAAAAAAAAAAAAAAAAGGAAAAATTAGCCTAAAGTCTCGCAAAAATGTAATCGTCTTTTAAAATTCACCTATGAACTTTTGATTCAACCTGTATTATAAAAGGAAGTAAAGAAGTCAACTCTTCGCATCGAAGGTCCTATACGCAAAAGAAACTTCATTTTTTATACAAACGTCCCGATCAATATTCAAACGTTCTCTCCGACGGTGTGTATGATCAAACGAGAGAAGACTTTGAGAAAAGAAATCGAAGGTCTTACATGAGCAAACTTATTTGCATGCATACCTCTTGGAAATGAATAATAATTTTTGCAAATGAATTCAAATTTTCCCGCCTAATTTGTAGAATCGTTCGATTTATCGATCTTCAATAATTTTTCTACGCAACTTTTTCTACTTCTTTTATTCTTTTTTTAAGTGTATTAAAATTTTAATAATAAAAAAAAAAAATATATATATATTAAATAATAATAAAAATACTACAGATTTTTCATAAATTTTTCTTAATTTAACTTTCTTATCGATTTTTAGATATTACATTAATTTCTTATTATTATTATTACTAACAAAAAAACGGAGGCAATTATTAAGGGAAAATGCAACAATAAAATAAAAAGAAATCATAGTAAGTCACATGACGAAATACGGTACAATTGAAGGCTTCAATGATAATATATATACATATACATATACATATACATATACATATACATATACATATACATATACATATACATATACATATACATATACATATACATATACATACATACATACATACATACATACATACACACACACACACACACACACACACACACACACACAATTGAAAGACTGCAATTTGAAAGAGGATTACTCGATGGCCCCATTCAAGGCCTTGTTACGCTACTGGCGCCAGTGAACACAATCGGTACAACATAAACGTTACTATCCAACTTCTCTTCCTCGTTGTTCTTCTCGAATCTTCACACGTTTATCATTTAATCGTATATTCTTTTTTATTCTGTTTTTTTATTCGTCAATACTCGATATTATCTCTTTCAACATATATATATATATGCGAGTGTGTTAGCGCAAAATTAAGTTCGACTCAAACGATACGATTTTTTACTTTTATTAAAAATCAAATTACTTGGTCAACATTTGTTCAAACTTGATGAACAAATTCAATCGCTGATCTTTCTTCTCGATGAATTAATATTTTTCTTCTTTTTTTTTTTTTCTTTTTAATTAAATTCGATTACATATACTGATATATTATATATTATATATATAAAAAAGGACAAAAAGAAAAGATAAAAATAACGTTAACACAGCTGTGTCTCATCAAGTGGTATATGCTTGATACATGAAAGAAGAACGCGTACATATACACATGCATATATTAATACATACATACACATGCTCGCACGCTCATAGCCAAGCCAGATACACAAACACACATGTATAGCTTTCAAGGTCAATCGAGAAAGAGAGTCCAATCGCAAATTGACGTGTCTCGGATTTATCGACGATGCAACGGATTTTCTTCCGTTCACGGAGGATTGCAAGTTCAGTGGTATAACATATTTCTTAGATATATCTTAACAAGTATACCGAACAAAGTACACGATTTATCATCGGAGATATTTCGAAATAAAAGAACAATAAACGTCGAGAAATATTCCGACAATTATGCTATGATCATCGAACGTTTTGTTCATGATTTGTTTTCGCAATCGAATAATATCAAACATTTCTAATATTATTGAGAGGAATAGAAAAAAAGAAAGGAAGAAAAAACAGAGAACAAAAAACAAAAAAAAAAAGAAAAAAAAAAGAGGAAAAGAATCTCAATAATTTGGTTTTTTCCGAATATGAAACTTTGTGCAACGAATTCAATGATATTTTTCATCGACAGATATCTCTCGAATGAATCATACCAAATACCATATTCTCTTTCTCTTTACTCAACAAAATGACGAGACAAACAGCGATAGAGAGAGAGAGAGAGAGAGAGAGAGAGAGAGAGAGAGAGAGAGAGAGAGAGAGAGAGAGAGAGAGAGAGAGAGAGAGAGAGAGAGAGAGAGAGAGAGAGAGAGAGAGAGAGAGAGAGAGAGAGACATAATTCGATTAGAGGCCGAGCATATTGGAAGCAGCAAGCTGCTCATTTTACCACGTTACATAAGTAACCGTAACGGGAGAGCACTATTAATGGTTACTTCTTATTGTCGAAGAAGAGAGTTCCTGAAACAACATAGTTTTCATACTATATTAAATGCAAGTTATTCTTAAAATAGGAAAAAAAAATAAAAAAAACAACAAATCTTTATTTATGTGACTTCGCGATAAGTCATGACTGACCTTGGTTTTATTACGTAAAATAAAGTAGATAAATTAATATACGCACGAATACCAAGTGAAAAGAAAGGAAAAGAAAAAAAAATAATATTTATAAATTGAAGAGAGACAATCATCTAACGAATGTTATAAAAATAAATTCATGATTACTTAAGAGAGAACTTCCTTTAGAAGCACAAAATGGCCGCATTAAAGTCTTTAGAAAAAAATAAATAAATAATAATGTTGTTGATTTAAGATCGACTCTGCATAAACTGTAAATCTTCTGTTACGGCAACGATGATGTAACACAACACATTCGCTATGCATCCGTCGTATTTTCAAAGAAACGTAAAATACCGAGTGTGGAGAATTAGAGTCAGAGTTAGAAAGAGGAGGAAGGCTGAAGTTGAATCTGAAACGGTGCACATCATTTATCGGTACTCTGTGAAATCTCGGTCAAATCGTTTTCCATTACTATAGAACTATAACAGGTATTTTCGAAGAAATAAAATGTAAAATAAATTTTACAACGTGTTCCATCTTTAAGACGGAAAACAGTTATCTCGTTCACAATTTATTTTTTTCTTAGATAAATGTGTTTCGGATACCATTCTAATCTAAGTTTAATTATTTTCTAATGGCATATTTGTTTAAGAACTTCCGATAAATGTGTTTATTTTGCATTTGGGCTTGTAAGTTCAAACACACCTAATAAAACAAAATTAGTAATATATTTTAGAGCTCGAGCATTCTGAGATCGTTTTATATTTCGCAAATATATGTATCTGTTTTACGAAATTATTTTAACGAGTGAACAATGTTAACTGATATCAATCTTAGGGACTAAACACGACTAGTGATACAGGCATACCACTTTAAAAAAGAAAAGAAAAAAAAAATTTATAATTATTATAACATTTTGTTTCTAATCTAAATTACTTTGTCTCTTTATTTCTTTTTCATTTCTTTCTATTAAAGAATAGCAGCGACAGCATCTCGGAACTTCGTTAAGATAGTATCCTAATTTTAAAAGTGAAGATAACGATCTTATCGCAAGGTCAGCATATTACTCCTTTGGCACGTGCTCGAGTATATCCATCTACTTGGTTTTCATTATCACTCCTTTCGCGTTCTTGTATCACGCAAGAAACGGATCTCGGAATTTAAGTGGATCACGTGATCTCTGTTGTAAAAACATCGATTTTTTCCCCATTCTAATCTATTGTTTTGATTATCTAACGTTATTCACATAATAACAAATCAATTTTCCTTATCTTTCTCTTACACAAAAAAAAAACAAACAAACAAACAAATAAAAATATCTTCATTCTTAATTATCAATAAGTATTTTTCTCCTCATCAAAAAAAAACCACGTAACTCGTACATATATACACACACACGGTCGATATATAAGTATATATATATATGTTTATGACTTTCCAAATCAGTGGAGCAAAGCAGCCAGTGAAAGAAAGGTGCGAGCATCTCGGTTTCTTTATTTTGAAAGCGTTAGAAAGCTTTGATTCGCTCAGCTGGCTGACTACGTTGTTGAAAGTTGGAACGATTTGTGATAACGTCTTGTGTGCAACCTGAATGAGAACGAAGACGAAAGGAAAAAAAAATAAATAAATAAATAGAATTGAAATAGATAGGCAAATAATATAATAAGAATATGTGGATGAAAGATTATCGTGAAAATTCATTGTCGCTTCTCGATCAGGATTATCGATTTCATTTGTAAAGAATGCTCTCTTATCTAAAACTCAACAAACAATTCTAATAAGCAAGAAATATGCGATAAGATATAGATATTAAATACAAAATATACTTGTACGTAATACGGATAAATTTTATGAAAGAGAAAAAGAAAATATTATAGACGAACTTTAAATGATTGATATCGAATGTAAATCATAAAAACATATTGTAAGCCAAGGACGTTTGTGAAAAATTCAAATTTTTCCCGCGCGAAATTGTCGTCTGTTTCCGTATATTTTCGTACGTTCTTCCGTAAGACGCGCGAAAATCTTAAATTTCGGAGAAGATACATGGACAACAGTGGATTTACTTTACAGTCAAGTCAGAAAAGTAATTAGCCTCGGCCATTCAATATATAATTACATGGAAAAGCAATTGTTTTTATTCGATAAGGAACGATGAGTCATTTCTTATTTGCAGTCATTCCTCTCGAGTTCTTACCTCATCTATATTGATGTAACTACGGCTATTGTGTTGTAAAAATAACAGAAAGAATATATAAAAAAGAATGATTGGACATGAGTATTACAAAAATAATGATTGGACATTAGTATTACTCGAACGTGAGATGTGTAATATTTATCTTTTTTTTCTGTTTTTCTTTTTCTTTTTTTGTTTTTTTTTGTTTTTTGAGAGGAAGAGAGAGAAAAAGACAGAGAGATAGATAAAAAGAAAAAAAGAAATCGAAGAAAGATAACGTGTTAATCAAAAGAAAGCGCGATGGACATAATTTACAAATTTATCGAGAACGATTACGAAAATACATATTGATTCACTTGTGTCAATGAGTACAATCGAAAGAAGACACATCAAGAATGATGATCAGCTGAGGAAAAAGTAATGTTTTTTCTGAATTGACGTCATCAGAGTTTGTCTGAATGATAGGTTTTACGAAAATCGCATTAATGACTTCGTAGCATGAACTTTGATATTTATAAGGACAAAATGTTTCGAAAATAAGCGATTAATAATGATCGAAGTTAGGAGTAAAAATCTATAATTTTTTTTAAGTTTTATTTAGTTATAGATCTAAAGGATCCCTTAGAAAAATATCATTTAGATGAGTTTTATATCACAAAGTTGAAATATAATTTTTATAAGTTATATACATACGTACATGTATATTCGAAGTTTCAGGTAAAAGTTCATAAAATTGCATAAAATTGTATAACATTATCCCCCTTTATTGAAGTTCGGTTATAGTTCAATTGCAAATGTAGTTTCAGACAGACAGAGGGAGAAAGAGAGAGAGAGAGAGAAAGAGAGAGATGAATAAGAAGAGAAACATTCCACTGACTTTGAAAAGCATTTAGTAACACATCGAAAAAAAGAACAGAATTTTCTATTTGCGCTCTAATTGCTTCGTAACGACCGTGAATTCAGAGTCATTCGAGAGTTTCTGCTAACGATAACGATAACGTAAGTACGTAAGGTATGTACATAAGTACATACCTAATCCTAAACGAGAATTATTTTGTGTTTGCATCTTTTATTGGGGGAAAAAAAAAGAAAAGAAAATAAAAAAAAAAAACATATTGGATATAACATGATTCTTACCATTTACAAATATATTACGAATAAAAAGCTTGACCTGATTTTATGCCAGGTTTAAATGTGATGCCACTCGAAAAGAGTCTCGAATCAAATTTAAATTTATAGGTATTGATGAATCTCTGCATGGAAATTATGCTTGAATATCAATGATATAAATGATATTGGAAAACTTTTTCTAAGATTTTTTTTTTTTTTTTTTTTTTTTTTTTTTTTTTTTTTTAATGACTATTTTCACATTGGATTCTTGTATTTTCGTTTGAAAGTTTCGAAAAAGTTGAAGCCAAGTGATAACTCATAATATAAATAAAGAAGTAATTTTTTTCGCTCATGGTGTAAGGAAAAAAAACAGAGAAATAAAAAGAGAAAGGAAAAAGTAAAGACAAAAAGAAAAGAAAATAAAATAAAAAGGAAATAAATGTTAATTTTTTTATGCAAAAAGTTACTTCACGTTCAATTCCATTGTTTATAGTGATAATATTCCATTACTAATCATGACACCTTTATCATCTTATCTTTCTCTTGAAATATTTTTCCTTACTTTGCCATCATATGTACTCACTAATAATATAATTCTATATTAACTGAATTTTGATTATCTAATGTAAAAAAAAAAAAAAAAGAAAAAGTTACACATATGTATATATAACTATAAAACTATTGTAAATTATTAGACTACAGATATTTGTAATTACAGAACTATATTAACTATTAATTCTTATTTTTATTAGTGCAAAAAAAAAGGAAACACATATACACACTCATACATATACATACACACACACATACACACACACACACACACACAAACACAAAATAAAATCTCTCATGAAGGACACGAAGGAAACGCACGAAGGATCGATACGATAAGTCTTAATAATTTTTTTTCTTGGTCAATCGTTTATATATCTCCTTCAATTTCGTTTGGAAATCCCAGCACGTACACTTTCCGAACGTGAAACAAATTTAGGTTAAGGCCTCGGCAGTCTCCGAAATACATATACACATACAAACGACCAACCAACCGGCTTCTCTCGTTTCTCGAAGCAATAAATAAAACCATGCGTAAGGTTACAATCATTACAAGAAGTTATAGTATGGTTGATTTAGGCAGCCATATCATAAATAACTTAAAAATAACCTATGAACGCGATCCACCTTCGCATATTTGAAAGACCGACAAATTATCGAAATAAAATTAAGAAAAGTTGTCTCACTCCTAAGTACAATACTTTCATTCAATTACATAATTTTAATCGTACGAACATCCTTTCTATAAAATATTTTAAATGCATAATGCATAATACATTCTCTTTGAAACACATATTGTATTATTTAAAATTACGAAACTATGTAACATGTGAAGGATAAATAACATAATCGTACATATCGATAATAATCGATTTTACGATCTTTAAACGTATATGAAAGATTTCCTTGTTTTAAGTTTTTTTTTATCGTCAAAAGAAAAAAAAGAAAAAAATAAAAAAAAAAAAAATAAAAAAAAACATAATATCGTATTATCTAAAATTACGAAACCATTTACAAACCATTTGTAACGTATTAGAAAATACTTGAATTATTTGTACTATATAATTATATTGCATATTGTATATAATTATATTGTACATTGTCAGAAATATCGAATATGATAATAATCGATAATACGATCGTATCGGGTCAGCTCGTTTTCCAAAGAAATATTTGGCGCGAAACTTGCGCGTCAAAGCGGCGTGTGACACGCGACTATCGAACGGACCAATAGCGTTGCAACGCGCCATGCGAGATTTAACGTGAAAGCGATCATGTGTAAGTCGAGAGTAAATCGATTGATGCCAAAAGGAATAAAGTCGTTTGAGAAATAGAAAGAGAAATACGAATGAAATCGATTTGTCGAAACGATCGGACGATCTGATAAGAAATGTCCGAAACAAAACTAAAATTAGAACCGTTTTCATATAAGATATGATAAGATATACGTATATATATATATATATATATATATATATATGTATATATATGTGTATATATATATATATATATATATATGTATATATATGTATATATATATATATATATATATATATATAAATATATAAAATATAAGGAAAGAAAAATAAAAAGGAATCACGATAGAAAACGTGGCATGTATTAGATATCGAATGAACGGAACTTAGAAAAGAAAAGAGAAGGGGAGAAGAAGGTTTAGTGAAGGAAGGGGGAAGTAGGCATAAGACGAACGCCGACATCGTCATCGTCACCATCATCATCACCATCATCATCATCATCACCATCATCATCATCATCATCATCATCATCATCATCATTATCATCATCATCATCATTATCAACATCCTTATAATTGTCGTATTTACTCACCTTTATGATCTTGTACTTCTTTTTTGTGGCCTGATTAAGATCCTCGTGAACCTTGTCAAGAAGCCAGAGAAGGAATTCCTGGGCGTCGTGTTGAAGATTACCGCGGTATTGGCTACCATATTTATCAACAACGCTTTTAAAAGCGGTGCTCATCTCTGGGTCATATTGGCAACTCCAAATTGCTTTTAGAAGTAAAGCTAACTGTTCCGTTATTTCACCTTTCGTACCGTACTTCTTCGAATTAAGTTTGTTACGTCGCGAGAGATCGACCTTGTATTGGTCGAGAACGAAATACTCGGCTAGTATGTCTGTGTGCGAAAGACACTGAAGTACGGCGTTCATGAAGCACGTGTTGCCGTGATTGCGCAGACCTATAACGCCGGGTACTCTGTCTGGTGGAATGTGTGCCGGCCTCGGTGGTGGCACTCGAATATCCGTTGCACTAGAACTGAGCTCGTCCCTGTGAGAGTTTTTGTTCTGCGTACCTACATTCGACATGTGTTGCATAATCTTGATGAATTTCTTCCAGGATGACATTACGAAGACTTTCTTGCTGGCAGATTTCTCTTGGTGGTATGCCTGCTGGTTATTCCCACCGTGTAATCTTCCTACGTTCTGCTGCATGCTGTTATCGACCGTATTATATTGTTGCTGTTGTTGCTGCTGTTGCACGTTGTTCTTCGAATTTTCTTTTGCACTGGCAGCGCTGCTGACGTCCTTGGGATCACGAGTCTTATTCATTCGACGCTTCGACATTCTCGTGGCACTTTGTAATAAATTCCTCGGAAGCGTAAAGGTTCGCTTTAATTTCGAACCAGAGTCTCGGGTTTTGGTATCGTACGATTTAACAACCTCTTCCACGCCCAGCTCGCCCTCCGACACGGATTTCATCACCGCGCTCGGGGGATTTTCGGTGGTCATCGCCGGCCCACCAATAGACCGGTCTTACATGGCCTCAAACGTAAGGTCCCTCGCATCACGTTTATTTACACGGTATTCACTGACCGTTCCGTACACTTAACATTACTCGTTGCACATCACCGAACGATACGCCGCGATGTACACCTCGTCGTCGTACGCGTAGCCCGCTCGCACGCGCTGCACCGGCCATTTGCCTTTCAGCGCACGACTTCCACGATTTCACAGCGCCCTCCCGGACACGAAATAAACAATTCAAGATAGACAAGATACATAATAGTAATTTTCTCGATGACGACGCCGTACATGACAAAAATCGAAATTATAAAGCAACGTTCAGTTTACTCTGTCGATAAAGAAGAGCATCTGTCATTTACCTCAATGTGTGGTTGAAACTTTTTATGAGGTTCTCTTTTTAATCCGTTCGTTCGATGGTAACGCTGTTCTTCTATTTCTGTTTATTTATCAATAGAATAGAACAATTAATGGTTAAATTAATGCGCGCCAAATTTTAAAACTTTCCCACGCTAATTTAGCGTGAATAAAAAAATGTAGCGCAAATTGCAAAAATGATACCAATCAAAGTAAAGTGATTGTTTCGATGATTTAAATATTTTAAAGACTGTTTATTGGGACAGAATGTAATGCAGAAAGGATAAGTTTTTGATATTATTTTTTATCGTATATTTTAATAAAATTTGTGTGGAATTTACTTGATCCTAGTTGTACAACAAAGATATGAATAATTATATTACACAAGTAGATACTTTGGTTTTGACATATACATACTTATACTTACACAAACATAAATATACATAATATTAAAGTTTTTCTACAATATTTAATTCTAATACTTTAGTATAACTATATACTAACTATATACTAAAAATGTATTATTTGATTTATCAATTTATAATAAATGAATATAAATTCTATAAATAAATAATAGATATACAAAACTAGGTGGTACTTGAAGGACTATCAGGTGACATAGAGATACAAAAATCCATTGGTGTGGTTTCTCTCTTATACGATATATTTCTGAAATGACAGCATTGTTTTTCTCCATATTGTTCGCATTCTCTGCAGCTTCTATTTTTAAATAATTTAATTCTCTTTTCTGCTGCTTCATCTAGATCAATGATATTTATCACATTTTCCTTTGTTTTCAATATTTTAGTTTGTTTCTTTTTGATATGCTGAGATTCAGTTTCAGATTTTGCTGAAGGCAAAAAAGTTTTATCAATACTACAATTGTTAACATTTTGATCAAGATTTATATTATTTTCATATTCTGAAAAGAAAGTTGAAAGTGATTCATTACTAATGTTTAATGGATCATTTACTTCCATTTGATTATTTATTTCATATTCTTGCTGATATATCAATTCGTTTTTTATTTGTGCACTTTCTATTATGCTTTCTGTCTTTTCAGTTTGATTACAAATATTATCAATATGTTCATCATCTATTCCCTTTTTCTTTGTACTTATTATATTGGTTAATATACTTTGTTTTGAAATTGTTTCCTGATTAAATGCAGATTTATCAGTCTTTGTTAATACAGGAGTACCAGTCGATTTTAAATTATTTGATAGCTCCATCGTTTTTTTGGTCTTGTGAAATACTAATTTGGTTTGTTTCAATTTCTTACTACTTGGCGTCGATGTGACTTGAATGTTATATGGTATCGTATTTAATTTAATATTATCTATTTGAGAATTATTCTTTGGTGTCAAGCTCATATTGTTTATAACTTGCAAAGGCGTTTTGTTCAATGCTTTCTCTTTTCTTATAGTACGTAAATTATTTCTTATTTTTAAATTATTCAATGGTGTTTTGGATTGTGTGTTCCTCTTAACATTCTTTGTTTTACTTATATTACATTTTTTGTTTCTAGTCGGAGTACTACATAAAAATAATGAAGGAACATTACTCGTAGAATCTTCAGTAACTACAGAATTTGTTTTATCAGACATCTCTTGCTTATTATCGTTTCTTAAATTATTTATTGTACTTATGCTTTCAGAAGAACTATCCATACAAATGTTTCTATTAGAATTGATATTTTTAAAATTTGATTTGTTTCTAAAAAATATAGGACTTTCTGGCATTGAACTTACATTTTCAAATATATTCTTATCGAACAATGATTCCATACTAGAATGAACATCCAAAGTAGATTGTTGCTGAGTATTTTCTATTGAATAAGTTGAATTTGGTTCTTCAGAATACATACTTCCTGAGGATTTATTATTTTCATCTATCTTTTTTCCTATTTGAGTCTTTTCTTCGGACAATGATTTAGAATCAGCTTCTTGATATTGTCTTACAAAATCTAAATAGGTCGTCCATATTTTTTTGTACTCCTGTAATGCTTCTTGAAGAATAAGATTAAAACGTTTTGTAGCCATATTTGCTGCTTCTTTTTCCATGAAATAATTAAGCGGTGGAAGTCTCGCCATTGTAAGAATATTATTATTTAAGGTTAGAATTTGTTCAACAAATTAATTTTTACTTTTACTTTAGATTTATGGTTATCAACAAATTTTGTTACGAACGTACCACACTCCTGTAACCATACTTGGACGATGAATAAGCTTACAAAAATGCATTCTAACCGATAAGAATACAATATTTCGATTTGTAACATCAACATTCGATACATATATATCGATATTTGATTTATATCGATCCACATCGATCAATATGAAATCAATATGAAAAAAAGAAAAAAGGTAGATATTTATTTCTGGTCGATGGACAGAAGTGCATAAATATGAATTATTATTTTATCGGAAAAGCAAATATTATAATATTTAAAGTGCAATGTAAGATCAAGTGTTGGATTTCGGATATGAAAATTGATAACATATGTCTCATTTTATTGGACTTACAAAATATGCATTACACTTAATTTAGAAGTATTTTTCTTTTTTTTGTTTTCGGAAATAATGATTTATATTAAATAAAATTTTTCAGTTTTCATTTTTCATATATTATTATAATCTCAGTTAAAAAAGTGGAAAAAAAGAGAAATTATATAAACATTTGACTTATATTCCTTTGTCTGCCCGCCAGAAATATAAATGTGAAGTATAAATAGAGAAAAATAATATAAAGAAATTAATTATCACAAATTACTTATTACTTGATTAGTTTTGTAAAGAAAAAAAAAAAAAAAATTTTTGACTAAATCAATTGACATTACTTTTCTTATAGCACTCCTTTCGTAACATATATTCTACTTTTACTTCTATTCCTTTTACTTCTTATACTCCATCTACCTCTACTTCTACTTCTACTTCTATTTTTTATCGATTATAATTACATTGTAGTTTATTTATATCTTGAAATTAGATCTTATTATATCTTTAGATTATATAATAAAAAAAAAAAAAGGTTACATTTCTATATAAAAATTTCAGAAAAATTATATAGCACATAAGTTTTATTTGTACATAAATTATTATTTTTTTCCTAAATAGGAAAATTATGATGACGATTAGCTTTTCTTTGAAAGCATACGATGTTGTTTATGTTAAAACTACGATGTATTTGATCGATAATCGTATATTATAGTTCTTTTTATTGTCCGGTCAATCCATTTATTCTTCACAGGAGTTCATTAAAGGATGAATAGAAACTGTAGCACCTGCACAGCTCACTGTGTTCAATATATAATCCTGGAAGTTACTTTCAATGGTCCACATAAGTCTTTTGGAGCCAGGTACAACTTGTGTCGATAATCGACAATCACCTTCTTTTTGTACTAAAAGGAAGTTATCTTGTATGAACGGTGTTTCCGTATTCCACATATAAATATCAGATTCACCTAAAAATGATATTTAAAATATTATATATATAGAGAGTTAACAAATTTTAATTTTACATATATATACACAACACATAAAATATTGAATCAATCAAATCGATTTATACCTTTGTTTCGGAAGAAAATGGCCGGTCCATTATCGCTACCAAGTAAAACAATTTTCTGATGTTTTAGACCAACTTCTTCGATTGATCCATTTAGATCACCACTTCTCAAATTAGTGGCTCTAATACCGAAAAGTCTGTTAGATCCTAGGTACGTGAAGTATACGACAGATGTACCATCAGATTTTCGAACAAGAACCATGTACAATACGTCGGGCTTATCCAAATCGGTAGACACAGTATTTGGTAGAACCACTCTGTTTCCACGATCTGCTGTGACGTTATAAATAATGATAGCTTTGTTTATTGCATCAGAAATATATATGTAAACTTGGCCATCTTCTGCATAGTCAACGAGCATATATTGCAGATGGGATAATGGAAGTACAAATTGACTTAAGTCAATGATTTTAACTACCTAAGAAGAAAAAGAAGAAGAATTACATATTTAAAATATCATGTGAAATGTGATCGTAGTAATAATTTACATTCCAACAATTTTATACAGATATATTCAATCAAGGTGGTATTTATTTGATAAAGTAAAATATTTGTCGAATACATACCTTGCCAGTTTTAACATTAATTCCAACTACTTTAGCAGGACATCTTCTAACTGGTTGAGTCATCGTGTTAACGATACCAGTATCAAGAACCCAAAGAATATCTTGAATATCGAGTACAATGTCAATGACACTTTGCAGAGCTTCACAATTACCTTCTTCTTGTATTGCCCAACAAGGAAACGGCAGTATCATTGGTGAGCAGGTTTTACTTTTCAATGATACAGCACCCAAGGTAAATGGTACACCAGGTTTGTAACGTGGTAGAGCTAGGATCGCATCGTCCTTGTAAATTTGCATCCTTGTTGATATTACATTTCTAGCCACGTAACGACCACTTGTCTCGTAAATGTTCTTTGTGCTCTGACAAGGCCACTCAAGACTGTGTCCATTGAGAGTGAATGATAATTCTGGTAACAATTGTTTGTCGATAATTTCTGTTGAAAAACTTACTGCTAGTATTGTCAGACAGACTATGCTCCTTAGGAGCCTCTTCATCTTGATTTTTGCCTTGGATATATAATAAAAATACTTCGTTGATCTCTCTCTCTCTCTCTCTCTCTCTCTCTCTCTCTCTCTCTCTCTCTCTCTCTCTCAAAACAAAATTTCTATTGTTCTTATTCTCCACAAATTGATGAATGATAACTTATAAATTTTTACTTAAGAATTTTATCCTTTATAAATATTCACGACGTCTTACAAATATACGAATGTAATATCCGTCGTGTCGTCGATATATATATATGTCATGTAGTAGCATAAACTTCGTATTTTTTTCTTTTCTCTTATTATTTCGACATATATCTTGCAACATTCGTATTATTTGATATTTGCAGATGTTAATGATGAATGTTATAATTTCATCAAAATATTTTTAACGAGTAACGTAAGTGATGTCAAGGATTCAGGAAGTTCTTGAAAGGAAATTAGGAAAGAAAAGGAAATATTAATTTTATAAATAAATATTTCATATTTGTATAAATTTTTTAAAATTCAACGTATTGCTAATTCTTTGCTTTTTCCGTACAATACGGAAGTAAGAACATATCAGGAAGTTATAATCGATGTAGGTAAAAAAGAGGAGATTCTAGTACATTATTCACTTCTTCTGATCATTATTATTTGTTCATCTATTTTTTTCATTAATTTTAATTATGTAAAATCGTTGATGATGAAAAATACAATTTTTATAATTAGTCAAATCCAAAATCGGTTTGATTCCGGTGTATAAGAACAAATGGACAACAAACATTTCTTAAAAACGAATAATTTCACAATGTCAGCATTATTGTCAATCAACGAAGTATATAAATGGCATAACCCTGAATATCTCTCAGTTCATCATTACTCAGTTTAGTCGAAAAGGAAGAGAAAAAGAGAGAAGAGAGAGAAAGAGAGAGACAAAGAAAGAGAGAGAGAGAGAGAGAGAGAGAGAGAGAGAGAGAGAGAGAGAGAGAGAGAGAAAAGAGAGAGAGAGAGTTTTGAAGAGTTCATAATAAAATTAAATAATTATGTTATTCAAATTTACGGTGCCGCTTTCAATCTTTATTATATTTGCCACCGCAAACGATGTAGAACAATTCGATAATCACAATGTTCAGTGGGTTGGTGGATCATTTGAATGGCCTTGTACAACTACGAAGAGTATGTTCAAAAATAGTGGTCGCTACATCTCAAAGAATGTGATCGCAACGAGAGCTGCAATTTTCATGGATGATGCTATTTTAGCTCTACCAAGGTAAAATATAAAAAAATGTTTAATATTTTATATTTTTATGTTTTTAAAGTATTAATGAAATATTTGATTGATCTTTGTTAAAGATTTAAACCTGGTGTCCCAGCGACTTTGGCTAGAGTCTCTCTTAAGGACAAAAACTGTCAAGCTAATCTTTATGCTTTTCCATGTTGGTCCGTTCAAGAGGAAGGTACTTTGAAAGCATTGCAAAATGTCGTAGATCTTTTCTTGGATCCCCAAGATATTCTTTGGGTCTTGGATACGGGAGTAATCCATACGTTGGAGGAATCTGTACGTATATCCCCGCCAAAAGTTATTGCAATCAACATGAAAACAGGCAAGGTAAGATCTGATAATTTATCTTTCTATTGCTACAACATTTCTATCTTTCACGATAGCACAACAAATGTTGTGAACGTTTTTATATGTACATTGTAGCAAAAAACATGCAACAAATCATGCAATATCGTCACGAAATGAGATATTTTACACTGTTCACGTTACTAAATCATTTTTGACTCTAAATCTAATGCAAAGAACGATTTGTTTCCGATATCTTTTCTTTATCTTGGTACCTAATCAAAAGACATGATTCGTTTTCATTCACTTTCAATTGAGATCTGTAAAGACTTAAATTGAAATATGTTTTATTATCGCCTGTAGCTCATAAAGACGATTGAACTCGATGGTCTGACTACATCTTCCTCTCGACTTCAATACGTCGTTGCTGACTACAGTCCAGATGGACGTGTCCTTATATACGTGTCGGATGCTGCAACAAGAGCAATCTTAGTCTACGATGTTACATCTGGTCGTGGTTATAGATTTGTCCTACCGAAAACCGTAACCACAGGCTCTTCTCGAAGAGATGTATTATACTTGGCTCTTATTCGTCATCCCGATGGTAGTACTTGCCTTCTGTTTACTTATTTATCAGGCAGTCGTATGTTCTCCATCAAGACGGAATATCTTCGTAACGGTGCACCGAACGACAAAATTCAAGATATTGGATTGAAGCCTAAACGTTTAGTAATTTTAGGCACGGACAATGGCAATGCTCTATTCTTCAGATACGAAGGAGAAGCTATCGTTCAAAGATGGGACACTAGTACTGGTTTCCAACCTGAGAATTTCCAAAAGGTTTATAGCAGTACCGCTTGTTCTCTGGCAACTCAAGTTATTCCTGATTATAAGAGAGGTAGTATGCGTGTATTGGAATCTAACTTCCCAGATTACATACAAGGTACCGTTGGATGCGGAGCCAATCAAGCTCTTAATATTATGTAAAATATATTTTAAAATAGGATAAACAAGAAAAACGAAAAAAAGGAAGAAAAAAATAAAATACATGTATAAGATTAAATCGTACTGATTTCATATGATGATACCCGACATCCATTTAATTATTAAATATTATCTATTATTTATTAATATATAAACGAATAAATCTTTACATCCGAATACTCAATACGTATTTACCTTAGTTGAAACTAATCATGATCTTGTGGACTACTAAAACGATTTAGAAATGTAGTAACCTTTCTCTGTTGTTAAAGCCACTCCTATGAAGTAAAGGTGCATTCACACTACAAATGTTAAATTTTTCAATTTCTAGCAATGATATTAGATATGTTATTAAATATTTAAAATTTTATTAGATATTATATATTTTATTTCGTAAGAATAAGTAAAAGTTAACTTTCCAAGATATCGTATGGCAAAAGAATCTGGTTTTACTTTCATCAAATTTCCAATAGAAAGTGTGAAGTAAATGATATATTAGAATATATTACATACACTGAAAATTAATATTCGCGATGAAGTTTACTTTTTTGAAAAATAATACGATTTGATATAAGAAAGTAGGCAGTAATATTTAGTTACTAATTCAAAGTTAGTTATACTTAGGATATGTACCCACTGTCAACCAGTCGCTAGCGCGAACACTAAATTCAAAGAAATGTATTAATACGTATATATTTGGTTTTGGTGACTAAAAGAAGGAAAAGCGACTCGCTGGTTGTCGTAACTATTTAATCTAATTCATCCATTTAAAGTAATAACTTGAAAACCAGACACTGGCAAACAACTTTCCAGGTTCCCAAGGGATCACTCCTCAATTTCGCCTGTATGTAAATCCGCTATTAATATATATAAAATCTTACATTAATCTGGACGACAGTGCGTACGCATACTTACTGAATAAAATATCAATTTTTTAATCGCTTCTATGAATGAATTTACAGGATAATAATAAATCGAATAGAAATAGATAGAATTTATTAACCTCGAAAAGTATTATTGGAAATACTTCTTATTGAGCCATTAAAAATAATTTTTCTTTTTTATATTACGGCTCATTACAAGCTCATTACAAGGTTTGTTATTGTAATATAATATCATTATTTATCATCAGAATAAGACAGTAAATGATAAATGCAGAATATAAGTATAATATAACTATTCAAACAAATTTGGTCAAAAGAAGCAAGAGCGTTTAAATTTTAATTAGTTTAAAAAATGTATATATATACACATATGATAGTGACATAATGCATTTACGCAAATCTGGTGCAATAAAATAGTAATCAACAATATTGCTTTTATATAACTTCAACGCAATTATTGCGCGGTATGAAATAAATAAAAAATAATATTTTTTTTTGATACGGTTGATTAGCACTCTGCAAGTTTTACATATTACGCTTATACTGATTCTTTTCAGATATTGAATCGAAGATTGGAAAAAGAAATAATTATTATGTTCTTTAAATTATTCTATTTACGATAGACAAACACATTAGAACTTTGAATTAGAAACAAAATTTAATGGTTCTAAGAAAAGTGTTCTTTTCATATCAATTTTCATTTTTAATTTGATTTTATATTTAATAAAAGTATTTTTGTCTTTAGCTCATGGAATATTAATAAATAATTTTTATCGTAGAAAAATATATCAAATTACTCGTACGAAGATTAAATAAGAAAAAATTTTTTGAAAGCAAAATCGTGCAGTTTCAGTTGTAACGTTGACGGAAAAACTCAAAGCCCTTTCTACTCTACCTACTTTTCTCTCTACTGAATCTATAATAAGGCAATAAATTGTTTACTGTCTGGCAATGTGCGATAATAATCACATTTACAGTATTATACCAAGTAAAAAGGGAAAGTAGAATAGAAATAAAAGGAATTTTTATTTTGAAAAATCAACGTAAAATGTATTGTGAATTTGTATTGTTTTCAAAAAAATTTTACATAACCTTAGTAATTGATTTCAATGAATTAAAACGTATTACTATATCTCGTATTATTCGAATAAAAGACTAATCAATTAAAAGAAATTTTTTTTATAAAATAACTATCATAACTCTTAGATTTACACTTCTAGATTCATAATAAAGGCTACTAATTGTGATATTTGAAAAAAAATCAGTGATCGAATTTCGGCATATAATTAGCGTCAATTAAGATCACAATTACTTATATTTACGAAATATGCAGAAAAACGTATATATAAATATATACACATATATATACGTTTATATACATATACATATACATATACATATACATATAAGATTATACATATATACATATATATTGCTTAATGACATAATGACTTCTTATGAGATAAAAAATTTTTTCGAAGAAGTAAGGTCGAAGCGATTATACTTTCATTATGGAAATTGATGTCTCTTCTAAAAGTTAATCGATTCTGCTTCTCGAACAGGGAGGAGTATTGAAAATAGTTAGCCTGCTTGGAATTCCTATTATTTCAGACAATGTTTCTATTGCACGCTTCACCGAGTTTGAACTTTTCATCGAATCGACCGACGCAAGCATGCGTCATTTACCGTTGAGTGAAATAAAACTAAAGAAAAAGAAACGACAACGGAAAAACAACTAAATAAACAATTCGACTTGTTCGGGTGTTTTTTATAATGAACTTACAAGCAAAGCTTCGATGTTTAAAATTTTAGAATTGCAACAACAATAAAAAAAAAAGATAAGAACGATTTAATTAATAAGACGAGTGAATTAATACATTATATTTTATCGATCATTATCATACGTTAAGCATCGACGTAACTTTCACTTTTTCCACAAAAACTGTTAATTAATCTTCATCCTTTCGTATTATAAAATCGACTAGATTCCAATCATTATTTTATTTATATTATCTATCATATGAATTGTTTATTTATATTATCTATCATATGAATATCTATAATTCAATTTTCTATTTTTGCTTTCTTCCACTTGCGTTCTTATATTGACTTTAAAACTATTCATAATCAAATGCGCGTGTATATTTATTTTTTTTCTTCGTATGTAACATGATGGATCAAATGCCACCAAAGTACTTCGTAAAATTGAAATCTCTAAGATGGCTTGTGCAGATATTCTTTAACATTCTTGATTTAGCCGAAATAAACTCGGTGGGTGTTATATAAAGAAGCAATCGGGGAAAAAATTTCTAAATAGCTATTTTTATTTCAATTAACTGAAGATCTTGCTGGCAATTTTAAAAGTATGCAACAGAAAGAATAAGAATATATACAGGAAAAGTTAATAAATGTAGGTTCAGTTTCATGTGTGAGAAAAAAGAACCAAATAAAATATTATAAAGAAAACAAGACTACAAAAATCTGTTTCAAATGCAAAAAATATGTGTGTGGCAAATATATCATTCAAATTCCAACAATTTGCAAAAAATGCGCTGAACATGAATAAAGTGTGCATATTGTTTACTTCTAAATTCAGAAATAAATGGAAATTTTGTTCTCTTATCTTTATACAATTTTTTAATTGAACAAATAAACATATAATAAACGCTATTTAGAAAATTGTTTCATTCACACACCAATTGGCGTACTACATATATATATATATATATATATATATATATAATACTAAATAGTATATTTTTTGTTATATATATATTGTAAAATATATAACTTTGAAGACGGATCATTTGACCCGCTGTGGTAGAAATAGGTGTACATGAAGCATCGGTACGTTTAGTATTAAAAAAAGAAATTTATTTAAGGATTTTAATAGAGCAGAAAATTCCATCTAAACAACGCCTAATTGGCAATAATTTTATATTCATGCAGGACAACGACACAAAACATAAAACTACAATGTGTACGAATTATTTAAAACAATTAGAAAAAGATTCTAATTCAAAAATAATGGAATGACCACTCCAATTTCTTAATTCAAATTAGGCTTCAAACCCCATTGTAAAACTGTAGGATCATTTGGACATATAGATTAGAAAATAATGTACGAAAAACATCTTTGGGAAATTTTGCAAGCAGAATGGATCAATATTTAAAGTGAGATATTGAAAAATTTAATAACCAGGATGCTACGACTCGTTAACGTGATCATAAAAGTACGCGATGGATATATAGACGAAAAAAAATATAATTACTTTTTATTTATATTGGTGAGATATTTACTGAGTTATCATTAAAATATGTTTTTTAACATTGTAAAGATTAGTATACACGAAAATGAATCAAATTTACCAAAAATTGCATAATTTTGTAGTTATAAGAATAAGGAAAGTGCCCACATAATTATGAGCGATAATGCATATATATATATATATATATATACATTCTTGAATATGCCTGTAAGAATTACATAAACTAATTTAAAGCAATTTCTTTAATTAGAATTTATTTTTAATTTATTTTTACAAGTAGTATTAACATAACGTTTCATAATAATATGAGTTAATTGGCTACGAAATCGGCGAGACTGACCAACGTTATATGTCGAGTCTGGACTTCTCTAGATTATATCGATATGAGTATGTATATATGAACATGTAAATACTAGTATACCATAAGGATATTTAGAACAATTATTTAGAAAAGAATATATCATAACATGTGTATCATATCATAATGGTATGTACATACCATAATAGTACTAATATAGGTGATTATTATATCATATCCGGTGTTTAATTTCGTAAGGACATTTCTTTTTATACATTTTTTTCTTAAAGATCTTTTATCTTTAATATTTCATTTTAGAAATTTTTTATTTTTTATTTTTTTAAATTTAAGATTTGAATTAAAAAACAATTGTGATAAATATTCGATAAATTTCTTGATCGATACTGCATTACGACATTACGTCGATAATACGATTAAATCGCACGCATATACGCATATACGCATGTGTATATATATATATATATATACACATAAGAAATTACTATAGAAATTAATTAAAGTTCAGTAATTTCGTTTAGCCGGGTTGCCCGAGTTAATGCATTAGTACTCGAGTATAACTTAAGCGTCGTATTTAACGTGGATACAATTAATAATCATTATACCGTATTAAGTATCTTATGATATAGTATGTTTTTTCCAAGTAATTTCAAGCATTGTGAACATGAAAGTAAGGATATTGGTTCGATGAAAAATTTGTCAATTAAAATAAATCTTTCGATTGTATATGATATTATATATTATTTTTGTAAATTGTATTCTGTAATTGTGATTCTTGAAAAAAAAATTTAATTTAATATATCAATGCAGTTATACGATTTATTTTATTGGTAAGATATATAAGGTTTTATTTTATTTAGTGTATTTATACGTAATTTAATATTATAAATATTATCATATATATAATAACATGTATCATGTTATCATACTATGTATAATAGATACGATATATTTTACTATGTTACATTACATGTTATATGTAATATATTGTACTGTATATATATACTGTATATATGTACTGTATATAATACACATTACAGTACACATTATATGACATAGTATATACATTATATAATATTATATATACGTTACATCTATTATTATATGCAATTTATTTGAGGTATAGATATTTTAATGTTATTATATATAATATATATTAAATATATAATAACGTATAATAGTATAAATATTTGAATATAAAATTCTATTTTATTTTTCATTTTCGCAGGACACACTTACATTCCTTTATTAAGTAAAAGTAAAATCATGGGATATATACCTGATACCGGTATGGCGAACTTTAGTAAAATCGGTCGATATATATCATGAAGGCGTTCCTGCCTTCTTAAATAACGTATACACACATATGTATACACACAGTAATACACCGTCTACGTTACACAATATACCTTTTCCGTGATCTATGCTCTCTCCAGTTAGAGATATGTCTCCTGTCTCTCGTAGGAGGCTAAGTTTTAAGCCGATACCACTCGGAAATTAGATCAGTCTTTGTTCGGCCAGTGGGACCTGGTGTTCGTTCGCAAAACAACGCAGTTCCTTCGTGATCGGTCTAATGAAAACATCTTTCTTATAGTTACATCTTGTCGAACATAAGTAATATCTTACGATCGTTATTATTTGGCGAGTAACAATTTTTCAAAATGAGGTAAAACATAAAAATGTTAGATAAGCAATTTTAAATGTATAATATTATCATATTAAATATTTTTGTGAATTTTTATTATTTTGTTCAATAGAATGTGCGTGACTTTCGATCATAATAAATTGCAAAAATTATATCGAGAAAAGAAATTTACAATTTCTGAAAATACATTAATATAAAAATTTAATTAGTTGAACGTTGAATCAACAGTTAGAATAAATTTTTCACGTCATTTATCCTTGGCATTTGACTACTAAAGTTTCTCGACATATATATACCTACATTTCTTGCGTGCATTTCCAAGTTGTCGTTCTCGATCAGGGCTATCGAAGTTCTCAATGCATTCAATTAGATTCAATGAAAGCCATTTGTCAATCTGTCTTTGTTCATGTGATCGTCCGATAATTTTAACATTTCACCTAAAGATAAAAGATATCTTGCATCTTTCGATCGACGAGATCGTATAATGCAATATTTTACTAATAAGATATGTTCCAATGTGCATACAAGTTGTTACGTTATAATTACACTTTACTGTTACTCAGATGCAAACAGAATCAATTCGAAAGATATAATTTCACGATGAAATGTTTCAGTTATTTCAAGTGAGTTCAATTGTAAAGACATATATATTAGATAATCCAAAATAATTGGCAATAACTTCTATACTTATACCTTCATGAACTTATAACTTCTATGTTTATAACTATTAACTTCTTAACTTATTGCTTATATTAACTTATAACTTCTATGTTTATAACTATTAACTTCTTAACTTATTGCTTATAACTTCTTAGAACTTATAACTTCTATACTTATAACTATTGAATTATACGATGATTACTAATTTTTTTATGAATTAATAATACGTATATAATAAACTAAATTAAATATTATGAAAAAATGATGGTGAAAGCATGATTGAATATATATTAAAATATTTAAATTTACATATCTATATTATTATTTTACATATCTATATTATAATTATTATTTACATATATATTATAATTATTAATTAATCAAAAAAATATTCATTAATGAAACAAAAAAGGACAATGAAAAATTAAAGAAAGAAATGACAAAAATCAATGAAATCTTATCTAAAGCCGAAACGACTTAACAATCCCTTTTGTGTGAATAGTAGATTGTTCAATTTCATTGTTTTAAATTGCAAAATCTCCAGGAAGTATCATTTCGCAAACAATGCTTATGTGAGATTTATGCACATTGAGTGAAAGAAAGTTAGGATAGATCAATTCCAGAAACTAGTATATCCTTAGAAAATCGATAGAGAGAGAGAGAGAGAGAGAGAGAGAGAGAGAGAAATAAAGAAAGAAAAAAAGAAAGAAAGAAAGAAAAGAAAAAGAAAGTAATTTCGACGTTTGAAAATTAGAGCTTCATGATTTTTTTTCATCAATATTACAAAGAAAATTGTATGCCAATAAAAATTGTATCTTTTTTCAATTGAAATCAGTTTCCTTTTTTAATCGATGAAAATGTCATTGCATTTAATCGATTCTGTCTACAATATCGTATACATAACAAGAAATAAAAATATATATACCTTCCACTTGATCAATAAATTCTGGTGAGGTGAATGAATGTCAAGTGAACGGTAGATTTCACAAAAAGCGATTCGTGCTTTCGCGTTGTGTCCTTGTACACTTTAACAATTATTCTTCGTTTAAACGTACAAATCGTTTTATATCCAAATTCCACAAAATTTGAATAGATTTTTAAAAATAGAACTTATATTTATCTGATTAAATAAATATTATGATCTATATATTTTATATAGTGCACAAATTATAAAATAATTTTCATTTCATTGATCGTACAAAAATTTTTCGTAGGTTCATCTTTCCATTGATTTTCCTCGCAGTATCATTCGACCTCAATGTTAATGCTGAATATTTGGAGACTCTAATGCAATGGCCATTTATCGATTACGTTCTGCCATACGATAATAATTTCCGCGGAAGATATCGTCCAGAAAACGTAGTTCCTACAGGCATCGAAGTCTCTTGGAGAAGAATTTTTATCAGCTTACCACGACTACGTCAAGGTGTTCCAGCTACTCTTGCTTACATTCCAAGAAACGTTCCATTGGGTAGCAGTCCAAAACTTCAACCGTATCCTTCGTGGGAATGGCATAGCGCGGGAAAAGGAGAATTTAATTGTTCTCAGCTGATATCTGTCTACAGAACAAGACTCGATAGATGTAATCGATTATGGGTCGTCGACAGTGGCGTCATGATGTCCCTCGATAATTTTACACCAATTTGTCCACCAAAATTACTTGTTTTTGATCTTCACACGGATACAGTTGTCAGGCAATATACTTTCCCACGAGAGGTTGGTTCAATGATCTTATTTTATTCTAATGAAGTTGGTGCATAGAATAAAAAAATTTATTGGAATTTTAATGAAAAAAAAGAAATCTTGTTAGATTAGAAATGTCAAGTGTAATGGTATAATTCAAATCACAAATTAGAAACAGGTTAAATAGGATTTGTAGAGAGCCAATTAAGTCATTTTTATAATATCTACAGGTTTTGAGATTGAACACTTTACTGACTAACCTTGTAATTGATGATACTAAATCTACTTCTTGTGATGACGTATTTGTTTATATGAGTGATACAACTGGACCAGGTTAAGATCATCGTTATTAATTTTTTCAGAATGAATAAAATAACGATCGATATTAATTTCAAATGATATTTTTTAGGAATTCAAATTTTTGATGGTGCCAATAATACAAGTTGGCGAGTACTTCATGCTTCGATGCTTCCTAATCCAGATTATACTATTTATCAGGTGATTTGTATAAATAATAAATGATCTACACGATTTTGTGTTAATGATTTTTTGATCGCTATCTTTATCTTATAATAGCTCGGTGATGAAAACTTCGAACTCCCAGACGGTATCGTGGGACTGGCTTTCTCTCCAAGGCTCGGTATGGTATATTATCAACCACTTGCCACCGATCGTCTTTTCGGCGTACCAACGTCGGCACTTCAAAACGGCCCACTTCCCTTTGGACAACAACTACCAGTGACCTTGATTGGAAGAAAGTCTAGTCAAGGTCTTCCATTAACCGTGGATCCTTACGATGACTCGATTTTTTTCTCGCCAATTAGGGAAACAGCTATTGCTAATTGGCAACCTCAAACAAATAGTCAAAGGTAAATTTGTCGATTTCTTTGGATCGGTTTTAACATCGATTTGGTTTGATACTCCAAACGAAATGTTTCAAAATGATGTTTCATTCAAACAGCAAAAATATCTTTTTCTTTTAGAATCGTCGCGTACAGTCCGGAAAAATTGCAATTTACCGCCGATCTGAGATGGACCGTACGTGATGACGGTAAAATCTGGATCTTGTCAACCAGATTCCATAAATTCTTCAATCGAAGAGTAACTTCTCAAGAAATCAATATTCGTATCATGAGGCTCGTTCCCGAAACCGTTCTATCAAAAAACGTGCCGATTTACCAATACATCAATTCACATTTATTGCATATTTTGTATAACAACACGATCGGTTTTTAAGTATACCAAAACGATCGATTAAAATTTCGAAAAAAAGTTTTTTAAATATTCTTGAAAATCATACTTAAGCAAGATGTTTAGTTTAATGAATTTTCTTTAAACTAAAATAGATAATTAAAATAAATCTTGTAAATTTTAATTCGCGGAGATCACACTGGAGATCAGTGGAGTAGAGTAAAATGTAATGTAGGGTATATTTTTGTATTTTTTTTATCTACTTTTCTATACATTCATATAATTTAATACAATTCATTCTTTAAGAAAACTAATTTGTGTTAAAGTTATTTACTGATGATTGGTAGAATATTTATTATAGATTTAATTGATAATAAGACATATTCTAAATTTTACATAAGAAGTATGTTAAAGCTATAAAATATTGAATAAAGGACGAGGAATTAATAAATAAAACATCGACTTTATATGATTGTTAGAATAATTATTAAAATTCTCATTATTAACATATCTATCTCGCAAGAACAAAATGTTGAAGAGCCTGTGCGATGGCAACTAGTCATACTTCTATGTATATATGGGATCAATTTCTGTATACATATGATCAATAATATAAGACGTATATTTTTAACATTCAACAGCAAATATTTGCAGTTTAACGAAAAATGAATATTTACATGAATTTATTTTCAAAAAATGGTCAAAAACCGGTTACATATCGACAAATAGACAGGTTCTCCATGGTTCAATAAACGGGATTTTATTTTAATTCTTTCTTTTCTCCTCAGTAAGGTCAAGGCCATTCAAGAACGATTGCATTAATACGTATTCTTTGTATTTATCAAATTATTAAACGTTGTTTATAAAATCCAATGAAATGAAAGAAATAGAAAAAGAAATTGAACGTTTTTTTTTTTTGTTGCGTACTTCAAGTTGACAGATTTTTATAGTTATTTTAACAGAGCCGTAAAATCATAAACTCAGACGTAAAGAAAAGATACGTCGATACCGCAAAAATAATTTAACAGAATGAATTTGAAGTTTGAAACAAAGCAACGTATTGGTATCTTTGTTATATTTCATCGTATCGATCACGTGTATCTTTTCTGTTTATTTTTTATGACGACAATCGGATATGATAGGATAGAGAAAAACGATCATAATTATGATTAATGAGAAATGTTCAAAGATAAATGTTTTATAGACATTTTATAGACATTAATAAAGCTAATTTTATTGTTGATAACACTATAATGACATGATGATAGATAGTTAAATAACTTCGTAGAAATGCCGATAATAAAAAAAAATAAAGATGACTAGTTCGAAACTCCCACGAGAAGAAAAAGAAAAAAACTGGTCACTTCAAGATATATCGAACCATGGATAAGTAAAAGATTAACGGATAAAATTATTTATACAAATTTTATGCTAAGGTAAAAATATTCTTTACAGAAATACGTGAACACGTATAAACCAAACGACTAGCTTAGGATTGCACAACTGTCCCAACAAAAGAACATTCAATTTACACTGCTATCGCAAACGTTAATACTTAACAAAAAATTTGTTAATGGTTCAAAGAAGATTTTTTTTCATTTGTTTATATAAACTGGATTTCGAGATTTGGTTTCGAACATGGATATTAAAATTAATTAAATATACATGTAAATTATGTGTATGTAAATTAATTAAACGTGATGCAATTCGTCCTAGAAAATCTAAGCATAAATTGTAGGCAAGTGTACTTTGATCAAGGTATAGATAAATATATATATATATATATATATATATATATATATATATATAAAATCAAAGGATTGTTATTTTAAAAAAATGTTCAATGGAATCAAAGATCTTGATCATTACTTTACGTTTGAAAGTATATACATATGTATAGAAAGAGAAAAAAAATTGAATCAGTTTAAATAATCTCTAACATGCTTTCGAAAGACAAGATCGTTCAATGAGATTTTATTATTGTGTTTAAAGAATTGATTAGACTGAAAAAATGACGATAACGACAACATAAAGAACAACAATAACAAAAGATAAGTCAGTGAAAAAATATTGATCTTAAAAAAAAATATTAAGACTCTTAGACTATGCGAATATGTATAAAAAGGAGCATTGATCGGCGTGAGAAATCACGCTATCCTTCAGTCGGTCCTCGACCGTGATATCGTCCGGTTCGTTTGTCGAGTGTCATTCTTCCTTTCTTTCTTTTTACAATTTAAGATACACAGAATCGAATCGTTCTTCAAAAAGTTATAATTTTCTTAATAACGAAAATGATAATACTTCAAACGGAATTATTCTACAACGTAAGCAGAATGTGTTAACGTAAATATAATTTCCTCGGCTTTTCCATTTCTGCAAGAAGTTGCGTAAGTTGTTAAGGGATAAAGAGACATTACAAAGAAGAAAAAGGTCAGCCAGTGAGAAAAATACAAAAGGAAAAAAATATTATTAGGAAAATTTAGTGACTAAGTAAAAAATTATTTCGAAAGATTATGAAACCTCAATTTGATAATAATTAACAAGTGAGTGAATATCTTAATTTATTATATGTTTTCCTTCTAAGCTTCGATGTTTATTTATTTTTTCCTTTTTTATTTTGCACGAAATTCCTCTATAATTCAATGATAAATTGACTGTAAACGATAATATTTATTAAAGTGTAAAAGATAATATTTATTAAAGTTCCTATCTTGAACAAAAAGAATACTATTACATTATTTTTGATATATGGAACTATCTTAAGCTCAATAAATAATCTCATTTTACAGTTCT